GAGTGAGAGCGACTCAGTGCAACACACGGAATAACCGAATTGTTCCTAGAACAGTAAATAAGATGGAATGCTTGATGTCCAAACGGTTTGAAGCTGCAGCGTGTCTTTGGCATGAGTGACACCGAAATGAAAACTATTCATGCCTCACAATTGATCCCTGCATATACAATACTCAGTATGAGTGAGAGCGACTCAGTGTAACACACGGAATAACCGAATTGTTCCTAGAACAGTAAATAACATGGAATGCTTGATGTCCAAACGGTTTGAATCTGCAGCGTGTCTTTGGCATGAGTGAAACCGAAACGAAAACTATTCATGCCTCAGAATTGATCCCTGTACGTACAATAGTCAGTACGAGTGAGAGCGACTCAGTGCAACACACGGAATAACCGAATTGTTCCTAGAACAGTAAATAAGATGGAATGCTTGATGTCCAAACGGTTTGAAGCTGCAGCGTGTCTTTGGCATGAGTGACACCGAAATGAAAACTATTCATGCCTCACAATTGATCCCTGCATATACAATACTCAGTATGAGTGAGAGCGACTCAGTGTAACACACGGAATAACCGAATTGTTCCTAGAACAGTAAATAACATGGAATGCTTGATGTCCAAACGGTTTGAAGCTGCAGTATGTCCTAGGCATGAGTGACACAGAAACGAAAACTAGTACTCTCTAGTTCCATTCTTCTGTGTACTACATGCAGTTTGACTCATAAACTATCATGAAATTTATGATATGTATGTTTATGAGTGCATGTACAATACATACGTACGAACAGTAAATAACATGGAATGCTTGATGTCCAAACGGTTTGAAGCTGCAGTGTGTCTTTGGCATGAGTGACACAGCAACGAAAACTAGTACTCTCTAGTTCCATTTTTCTGTGTACTACACGGAGTTTGACTCATATAAACTATCAGTAAATAATATGTATGTTCATGCCTTAGAATTGATCCCTGCATGTACAATATATACGTACAATACTCAGTAATATGCAGAACGACTCAGTGTAACACACGGAATAACCGAATTGTTCCTAGAACAGTAAATAACATGGAATGCTTGATGTCCAAACGGTTTGAAGCTGCAGTGTGTCTTTGGCATGAGTGACACAGAAACGAAAACTAGTACTCTCTAGTTCCATTGTTCTGTGTACTACACGCAGTGTGACACATATAAACTATCATTAAATATATAGTATGTATGTTTATGCCTCAGAATAGATCCCTGCATGTACAATACATACGTACAATACTCAGTAATAGCGAGAGCGACTCAGTGTAACACACGGAATAACCGAATTGTTCCTAGAACAGTAAATAACATGGAATGCTTGATGTCCAAACGGTTTGAAGCTGCAGCGTGTCTTTGGCATGAGTGACACCGAAACGAAAACTATTCATGCCTCAGAATTGATCCCTGTATGTACAATACTCAGTACGAGTGAGAGCGACTCAGTGTAACACACCGAATAACCGAATTGTTCCTAGAACAGTAAATAACATGGAATGCTTGATGTCCAAACGGTTTGAAGCTGCAGCGTGTCTTTGGCATGAGTGACATCGAAACGAAAACTAGTACTCTCTAGTTCCATTTTCCGTGTACTACATGCAGTTTGACTCATAAACTATCATGAAATTTATGATATGTATGTTTATGCCTCAGACTCGATCCCTGCATGTATAATACATACGTACAATACTCAGTAATAGCGAGAGCGACTTAGTGTAACACACGGAATAACCGAATTGTTCCTAGAACAATAAGTAACATGGAATGCTTGATGTCCAAATGGTTTGAAGCTGCAGCCTGTCTTTGGCATGAGTAACGCAGAAACGAAAACTAGTATATTTTTTTTAAAATTAATTTTTAATTTTTCACATGGACGCACAACAAAATATTTAATATCTTGCATGTCCTACTCAGTTTATGTAAACGCATATTTGACGAACGATCTTTCTTTCTTTCTTTCACCACATGTAATTGTAGTTTGACTACATATTTATAAATAATGTAACACACGTAATGCGGTATCTGAGCCTGTGAAATAGTCTCTCAAAGAAAAAGCCAATCATATCATATATGAATGTGAACGCCGAAAGAACGTATAAAGTAAAATGATTTTTATAGTCACTGATTTCATCAGAATAACTAATAGTAGCTCTTAGCACGAGCGAAGCGGTTACAAAATAACTAAGTAGTCCATTATCGGTATACTTCGTGATAGAGGGTCATTGGGATTAGATGAACATCAACCAGAACCGACGCTGTATAAGTGTTTGATTTGAAGTAACACTTTTAGTACAGTAGGTACGTAGGACGCTAGTACGGTGAATTAATAGACGAACATCGAACCTCAGAACCATCTATCACTGCTTAGTATGAGACAAATATTATGGGGTTATTTGTTGGAGATACCAATTATGACTACTTGAACTATAATAATGTTAAAATTTTCATTACAATAAGAAAGTCGTGCATGGAATGCGCAATATGATTGAAAGTGGAATACGCAACTATGACTACGCAAAAGTGTACGGTGTCGCACATAAAATGCTGCATGTTTTATTATTTTTTTATAATAAAACCTTCTAGTTACAATATAATTTTCACTAGAAGTATTTATTGTTCCTACAATCCAAAAAACTAGCGACCATAAAGATCATATTGCACAATGTACATATATAAGATATTACATACAACTAGTACAGTATATTACCATGTTATTTTATATGTTAGTAACTAACTTAATTTCTACTATAAACATATTAAATTTTTTATTGTGTATAACGGCTTACTCATCTTATATTGCTGGAACAGATTAATTATTATGCTTTTTTGGATAAACGCTGTATGGAAGGCACTGTCGACATTTGCTACAGTGCGCTAGGTGTCGGCTCCGGCCGTGCATCTATAAAGATACAACCCTAGTTAATTGTGTGTTACAAATGTGACTAAAATAAACACAGTAAGTAACGAATATGATAACCGCAAAGCCTATTCTTATTATTATCGTTTACTCCAATACCAATCTAATAAGTCTCGCTAAAATGTCGTACCTGGTGCGGTGGTGATGGCGCGACTTGTTGTTCCTGGTCGCGGGCCGACTCTAGCTTTTTTACTACAAATAAAACAACAATAGATAAGTAAATACTCGTAAAAACTCTATAAATTTATTATTTCAAGAAATGTTAGTTTTACACTTACTTTTTTTCTTCAATTTTCCATTGACGCGTTTAAGGTCTTTTTCTTTTCTTTTAATTCTTAACTTCATAATGACATTTATCATTAAGTTGGCCGGCGTCATCTACAAAAAGAAATAAAATGAGACAAAACATAAAACAATAAAGTCGGCTCATCTTACTCGCAAACATTTCAAGTTTCGTAAACGTACATTAGAGTCACATCCTGCGGCCTCTGCCAGTTCGCAGTGGGCTTTCGCCAACTCCTCTGGCCTTACTCGTTCATATTGAGCGTTCCTGGCTCGCCTTTCCTCCTGTAAACATGTAAATGTGGTTTATCTATCTATATACTTAAAGTGCTATATGTAGAAAAAACATAGCAAAAATGTAATTAACTTTTTTGTCTGCTTGTCTGTGGGTTTGTACACTATAGTCTCAAAAGCCGCTTATTTGCTTTAGAATATGTTTGTCGAATGTTAGGTTGCTGTGGGCAACCTTACTTGTAAACTCTACGCTATAACTGTAGGGCCTATGATTGAAATTAAATTGAACCGATATTATAAATGTAAAAATGTGCGAGTTTCTGTGTATGTTTATTACTCAGTCGCATCATAACGGCTAAAGCGACCGGGATGAAATTAAGGACAGAGGTAGATCACAGTTCGGAGTAACACATAGGCTACTCCTAGAAACACGGGTGAAGCCGCTGTCAGAAGCTCGTTATTTAACAGAAATATAGACCAAAGTTATAGAGTTTAAATCTCTATAATATCTATATACACACATAACATAACATCACGTCTTTTATCCTCGAAGGGGTAGCCAGAGGTACACATTACGGCACTTAATTCCTCTGTACAAAACTCAAAACTCTGTAAATGTCTTTGATCATCACTATAGACGCGGACGCCCTGCGATATGTACGTTCAGAGAGAAGTTCTAAGATGTCAAAATAAAGAACTTATACAAGTATTTCGAAAGGCTTATTTTCCTAGGTTATTACATTTGTTTTATACAAACCAAAGACAGTGGGGTGCCATTTGCACCACGGGGTCTTCCACGCCTTGGTCGATGTGGATGGCTCTGGTTCCTGGCTCCGGCTTGGCTGCTCCTGATAAAATAAAAATATAGGTTAAGATACATCTTTAAATTTTACCAAAACATTTATTTTACAAAATAAATAAATGAGACATACCTCGTTCAAATTTTTTTTTACTGGATCCATCGCTATTGTAATTCTTTTTCCTTTGTAAGAATGAAACCAGTTCCATTGCGATTGTAATCTGAAGCAGAACGCCTAGCAGTTGCAGCTATTGCACTTAGTCACTAAGTACTGAGTGCAAAATTCAAAGCTACGTAATTCTTCAATTCAAGGTAGAAAAAATACAATAGCAGATAAATTATACATCACAAATGCAATGACAATATGACTAGTATTAAATAGAGGACACGACACTCAGTATCCATCAATATTGCCATCAGAAGAATTACCATCGTTCGAGGATGTATTATGTCCAGATCTTTTTTGCAAGTATCAGATTTGTATTGCACCAACTATGTTTATTTTGGTCGCATTTGCAACACACAACTAACTAGTGTTGTATCTTTGTAAATACACGGCCAGAGCTGACACGTAACCCACTGATGACACCACTGGCAACGCCACCGTACCAGCCCTTCCCGCCACAACAAAACTTTTATCTAGCACTATCACTACTACAGCAGCAGCCAGAGCAAGTACAGACTCAAATTTCTTGCGAGTATTAGATTTAATTCCACTACACAAAATTAACTGGTGTTGAATTTTTAGTAGCAGAGCCAGAGCTCGACATGCAGTTTCCACCAACATTATCATCCTTCCATGCCATGGCATTACCATCGTTCGAGGCTGAATTATGTCCAGATGTTTTGTGTAAGTATTAAATTTGTATTGGAGTAACTATGTTTATTTTGGTCGCGTTTGTAACACACAATTAACTTGTGTTGAATTTTTAGTAGCAGAGCAGGAACCCGACGAGACTGCGTTTCCATCGATATTGCCCACAGACGCAAATTTACCAGACCTTTTGTGTAAGTATTAATTTTGTATTGGAGCAACTATGTTTAGTTTGGTCGCATTTGTAACACACAATTAACTGGTGTTGAATTTTTGTACCATTGCAACTACCACCGCAACTAGATTTAAGTTTATTATTCTGTGAATATTAGATTCGTATTTGTGCGGCGTTTCTATATAGTGCTAATCATATTTTGATTGCATTTGCAACATACAACTTATCTGTTATTGTATTTTTTTCTACTCAGCTCAAGACGATTTGGAGAAAATTTACGAAGCTCTGGATCATGGATGGATGGACTTCCGGCAGAAGACATCGTAAAGAAGGCTCCTGACACCTAAAAAAAAAAAAAATTACATAATTTATTTTTTGCCTCGACACAAACGTAGTTTGACGAGATTAAACTTCGAAATAGTCCCGATCACCACCACCATTGCAAGTCATTTCTTTGTTTTAATTAATAAAAAAATCCAAATACCGGATTTAAAATGATTGATTAGGTGATTCTCCTACAATCCATCAAATTAATGTATTAATTGTTGATAAATAAGTTTATAAAGTTGTCAGGTTGTGTATGTTTGTAAGAAGTTTTTTTTTGTCTGCTGATAGAGGAGCTGTTCTTTTTGCTTATGTTTGTTTTGTAATGACGTTGCGTTTAAATAAATATCGTGATTTATAAGAATTCTGACTAGTGCTTTTATTGAAATATTGCCTAATCCCAATAATAATTAACTTTACTTTTCAGTACTGTACGTTTTTAGACGAAAACTGTTTCTGAAATAGTGTTAAGTAGTTCTTTTATCTACACTTTGCATTGATTGATTGAATACTTTGTATAATTACGCCGGAATACTGAAAAGTTACTTAAATTTAAGTTTTTCTTAAATATCGTGCCGTCTCTGTCATTTTACAAAGAATTTGTAGAGATAGAACTATACTTAGACGCGACTTCAAATTAAATGGCGTTAGAGTATTTGGACATTAGTATTATAAAATTGAACTATTAATTTGAATTGTTTGAACCGTACTGGTTCGAATTTTAAAATTATATTTGTTCTCAATAGTCCATTTATTGATAAAGACTATATGCTATAATAAATCACGATGTATCTAATAGGATCCGAGCAAAGCCGAATGCGACTAGAGCAGGTTAACGTCCATAAAAAAGTGACCAGATAAATAGTAAAAAGTGGGTTTTACATTGTACAGTGGCATTAACTGCTTGAATGCCTGTATATGAAAGAAAATACATTATGTCTCGCGTAAATCCACGTTTAGACACACGACGGGTTAAGGGCCATAATGTGCACATCTGCCAACCTCTTCGGGGATAAAAGGCATGATGTTATGTTATATTATAACCGTAATATGTTTAGACGTAAAAATACTAAGTTATGAATGGATCTTAATAATTACCCTTTGAACAGAATGAGGACGCGTTTAGTATTATGACTGCACGGTTGGTGCGGTGGCTGGGCAACCGGCTGCAGTGCAACGTGTCGCGGGTTCGATTCCCGCACGGAACAACACTTTGTGTGATCCACAAATTGTTGTTTCGGGTCTGGGTGTGATGTGTATGTGAACTTGTATGTTTGTAAACGCACCCACGGCACAGGAGAAAATCCGAGTGTGGGGCAACGTTTTTTTAAAAAAAAAATATGGCGAGGGACTGTAGTTACTATAATACAAAATGTAATATTGTAAATTCAAATAAATAAAGTGAGTGTTTCTTACATTAGGATCATCCAGCTGCATCTCCCCTTCGTCATCGCTTCAGCATAATCTTGGCAAGAACTATAGCTGTCCCCATCAGACTGCTATTAAAGAAATCTTCTAATTCTGTCGTTCTGGTCATAAGAAGAGTTTGGGCTACGGGAATTGCATATGAACAGGTTTATGCTGCGGCTAGGAATCCGTTCAGTCCACGGTTCAGTGCACGATTTCTAGCGGTGCTCCACGGGGCCTCTAATTGGCCCTTTTTCTGTTGTCCATCTTATATTTAGGTAACATCGAGCTCTCCTTCCATAACTCTAATCTTCTTATTTTCTGACGTCATTAAAATTTACTCCAAAATAACATCGATGGACAATGTGATGCTTTTCAAGATTACTTGAGGTGCACAGATGAGTACCAATTGAGTATGGCCTAGATCCGGCCAAATACTCAGTAAATAATTTTAATAGAAAACGATTCCCATTGTTTCATTCGTCCAAGCCAAAGCTCTTGTAAATAGACGAAAATTTGCTACCTCTTTTAAAGGCGTAAATTGTTAAAACTTTTCTTTTATATTAAAAATTCTGTCCAACGACAAAGAATGTAAATAAAAATTAAATCATTTAGATTCAGCGCACCGATACCAATGCCTCCTTCCTTAACCAATTATAGAAGTAATTCGTATATAATATACGAACCAGCAATGACTTCGATAGACACCGTAAAAAATTTTTTTAGGTCCATTTAAAAGAAAATCCGCTGTGACACGCAGAGCAGCCGAACCTTAAGTTCTTTATTCATAGTACCTTTACGGCACTTATTGTAGTTATTTTTGCGGCATTATGTATTGCCTTAATTATACTTTTCATTAGTACTTTCAGTAAGTACTATATAGTTGTGTTGACATTTTTCTATTCTCTGTTACCAATCGTGAAATGTAATTGGTTTTTTAAAACCCATCACTTTCTTTTTTTTAATTTCTTCTTAGTTAAATTGTATAGGTGATATAAAAAATATACTGGTTTTCCATATGAATAATAAATGAGTAAGCCGTTTCGCTTTTCCTGCTCATACAGCGCATTTTTTGCGCCCCTTTCTTCCTGCAAATAAAGTTCGTTATTAATATATCGTTCAGTTCGAAAGAGAATGTACGGTATATGTACACAAAGCACCGCTAATTAGTTGCAGCGCTACACATCGACACAACTGTCATTTACACAGTGTACATGTGTGCGTAATTTCATATAACTGTATATAAAAATATTCGTCCACCACGTTCACATTGGTATTTTCATTCTTGTGTCGGTATACGTATTTTTATAATTTAATGCATAGGTAAGGTTAAAACTATTTACAATCATTGATATGACCCGACATTTTCACTGTCATTATCGTAGTGCTCGTGGTCGATTGGTTAATGAGCACGCTTTTATCGTCTTTCAAGGATCAATGATGTGGGTTCTATTCCAGCTAAAAGTTAATTTTATTTTACCTTGTTTTTTTCTTATTTTTTTTTTGTTTTTTGTCATAAAATATAAATATCAGGCTATAAAAGAAGCAAATGAGTTGGTAAATAAAACAATACTATTTTTTATTACAATTAATTTATTTATTATACAAATATGTTGTTTTATATTCAATATTTATATCTAATAATTAATTATATACCACATGTTAAGTTTAAAGTTCTTTAAATCATAATTAATAGATATGACAATAAACCTCATAGTCGAATCGGGAAATATCATGCGGTACAGCGGTAATACGATGGCAGCAACATTTTTTATTAAGTAATAAACAAATATACAACATTCTTGTTTTTTAATTTAATAATATAATGTATTATTAAACTGTCAAACACCAAGCGGTCACCGGTGACCGCGACCTATTGTTCTTTAATTGTGTCTATAAAACCGGTACTCGACGAGTTAAATTACAGTTTTACAGTAATAAACAAGTAAAACATGTAAAAAATTACACTGTCAACATAATATTTCTTGAAATGGGCGACTTTTTGTCGTTTGAACTTCCATTAATTATCTATTTTACGACGGTTGTTATAAGGTTCAATATTCAGTGGGCTGTATGATAGTAAAAAGAATGTGACGAATGCTATGGAACGATTTTAACTTTCATGACCTTTAGAATCAGGGAAACTTTAAATTAATTGAAGATGGGCGTAAATATAATATGTCAATCAAGTTCGAAAGCAGTTAAATAAATTTGTTAATGAAAAATTAAAGTGAAGTGAATAAACATGTTGAATAGAAAGAAATTATGACAATTTCTAACCACAAAACAATAACATCACTTCACCGTATGTTCTAGACAGCATTTTAATATTCTTAAAAAAATTAAACATTATTTTATGTTAATTTTAATAAAGGCAGAGTTTGACAGGCTCAATAATTGATTCCGAAATCAATACAATCACTGATCCTACAAGGCAGAAGGTTGCAATTCGTATACCTTTCTCCATCTTTTCTTCACAATATTTTACGCCCATCCTTATCCGACTTGAAAGTCTTTTCGTCGCTCAATATGATTACACTGTTCGCCCAATCAAAATTAATAAAGTCCTTAGCAAATTCTTAGCGCTTTTGCTGGTGAACCACAGATAACAATATTTTCTTCTCTGGCTTCCTGCACCTTAAACCAGAATGCAGGTGTCTCCGTACAGTTTGTATTAAAACATTCAGTGCTGTCGCTGTAGTGCGGGTTGGCAGGAACGGATCAGCCATGTGCCTGGCTACGATGTCGTAGTGCCGAGCCGATGAATTTGCCTTTGGTTTAGGCCCACGTCGACGATGTTTAACGTCACCGGTCTCCGCATATCTGTGCACCCATAACTGCATGGATCTCCTCTGTTGATACCAAACAAATAAGTATTTAAAATACCAGGAAATACTTTACAGGAATTAAAGTTACTTAAAAATAATAATAAATATAAGTAAACACAATGTTAGAATAATAATTTATAATTAAGTAGTGGCGTAAGGAATAAAAATCCCTAACCAGATATGTTTTAAAGAAACACTCCTAACAAAAACAAGTCAAGTTACAATACAATTAATAATAAATTATTAATATATCTTTATAATATTGAACTTCATAATAAGTTGCAATAATTATTTTATTCTAGTGCAAAAATTGATAGGTGTGTCGAGTTACAAAATGAAATAAATATTATTTAGAATATCAACGTAGTATCTTATTTACTCACCGATATCATTAAACGCCTTGCTATTTCAGTTATTGTTAGTTATGTTTTGCTCATGCAAAACAATGGTTTCAGCCTTTTTAAATGTTGATAGGTGTTGGAACATCTTGTAAAAATAAAAATAACTTTGCACACGAATATAAGTAGTGTAGCAATAAACTATGAAATCCTCATAAATTGACAACTAAGAACGCAATTATTTTGTAAGTCGGGTGATTTGAAAAACATGTTTTAAATAGTCGGTAGTTACTTCATAAGCGTGTAAAATAAAATGACTCGAGATTTCTATGGTCGCCACAAACATTGCAAATATACTCAGGTATCGAACCATTAAGAAATCACAGTTAATTACTTTTTTACTGTTTTTATCTTATTTAAGTTGGTTGAA